TGCCCCCTTTCCACATCCCCCGAAAGTCGTTTTCCCCTTTTTTATGTTTGCCTTGATTTGTTGTAACAAGATGCTTTTAGGGGGCTGTCGTGGTGTAGAGGTTAAGGTGTTCGCCTCTCATTCTATAGGTACCGGGTTCGAATCCGAATAGCGACAGACCATTTTCTTCTCTAAAAAGTTCCTCTCCACATCCTTTCCTGCCCTCTAACAATGTTCTGTTTTCTGCTTTCGTCTCCACTTTCTGCCCCCACCCCTTCACCTCCTTTGCCCCCTCTTCTAGGCTCCTGACTCTTACTGCAGCCTTTCTACTGCTACTCCTTGGCTCCTTCCTACTGCTGTCTTTCAGCCACACTCCTGATCTAATAGTACGTAAGATCTACACCTAGCTTTCTCGGATAAGGGCAAAAATATCCCGGAGTTGCGCACGTTAAAGATCCATTGGTGGTCCAAAATCGATATGATTAGGCTTCGGCCGCCACCCGGGCAAAATTCAAAATTCCCTACCAACTGTAAATGTTTAATGTGTCCCGCCCGCTCATATGACCTTATTATGCAGTTGCGAGCGCCGTAAAACACCTAGGAAAAAAGAGATGCTTTTAGCCTAAATTAATTACTTCAAAATTGTGTCATTAGTGGTCACCACATTAATGATTTACTTACTTACTACTACCCATTACGCCATCTGGCGTTTAGGGCAGCAACAAAGGATCTCCAGCTCTGTAGTATGTCCTGGGCCATCTTGGTCAACGTCAACATTAATGAACAAAAAAGATTAAAATCCTGTCCTACCTGGATCCTGGCGTGCAGTCTACTACTGATGAAACACTCCACCACCACGTCGGCGTCTGTCTTTGCGCGGGATCCCGCCCGGGGTTTGGCCATGGCCAGGAAGCATGCACTAGAGGGAGGCACAGAGAAAAATATGATGTAGTATGTATGTTAAGGGAGGGGGGGGGGCTACACCTGAAGGCTATCTCGCTTATTACTGGACCAAATTTTACCAAATTTCACACATATAGCAAGCGTAGTAAGGAGTATTAAAATCCGCAATCAAAGTTTTGTTTCCATGGATACGGCGGCCATATTGGATTTTGTTTATATGTCTTACGTAATGAATACCGCACGTATTGCTTACGGAAATTGATCGTTTTTTAGCATTCGTTTTAACAAACTTTAGATCTAAAAAAATTTCCTTGTTTTTTTCCTAAACGAATTAGAAAATTTCTAATGAATTTTTTTCCTGAAGTAGCATTCAAATTTGCACAAAATCCGTGAAAATCCACACTCCAGACACCACCAACAATAATCTATTCCACATATCAGTATTACATCTTCTCTTCATTCTGTGAAAATTTCATGAAGATTGGTGGAGTTATTTTAAAAATGTATTGAGAAAAGTCGCGTTTTGAGATAACGACCGATAAAGAAAAATAAAATATTGACTATATGAGGAAATGGTGGTGAAGAACATGCCCGGCATGGGAAAAAATGCAGTTGTGGGGGGTTCTTATGCTATGAAATAGTTGTAGCAGAAACTGAGGAAGCTAAAAATGCCTACAACTCAAATTCCATAATTTTGAGCCGAATTGGGACTTTGGGGGTGTAGCCCTCCC